AGCAGATCCCCTGATACGTGGGCACCCAGGCTGTCCTCAAACTCACTGAAAAGTGGCTGTTCCGTTGTCCACAGCCTTGTACAGGGCCCTCTTTATGAGGAAGAATTCCATAAAAGGAATAGTTAGGTTCTTCCCAAGCAACCAGCTTGGTTTTAATCTCATCCATAGAGAGACTGTCCTGATTCAAATCCAGAATCCCCTTTGTCCAAAACCACGCCCACAGCCGCACCCTCCTTTTCTATCCTATATTTTTGTTCGCTCTTATTTTTTCACTTCCATTTTCATTTGGTTACATGTATTTTTGGAACTGCTTTGTATCTTTCTGGAATAGTTGGACTAGAAATAAATGGTCAGACATCTAGACATCTAAAATAATTCTAAGGGGAACAAAAAATGTAGGAGGCTGTCATTCAGGACTACAGCAGAAGACTTTCCAGGACAGAGAAAATATATATATATATATATATTTTTTTTTTTTTTTAAGATTTATTTATTTAAGAGAGAGAGAGAGAAAGATTGGCGGAGAGAGAGCAAGCATGCCAGGAGTGGGGGGGAGAGGCAGAGGGAGAGAATCTCAAGCAGAATCTGCACTGAGTGCAGAGCCCGACACGGGACTAAATCTCATGACCCTGAGATGATGACCTGAGCTGAAATCAAGAGTTGGCTGCTTAACCAACTGAGTCACCCAGGCGTCCCCAGAACAGAGACGGTATTCTTAAGAAGAAAACTAACAGCCCCCAAAAAGTCTGACAAGGACTCTCAGGAGTAGGGCTTTGGGGTAGAATCTAGAAAATCAACATGGCCCAAGAAGACACCTCCCAGGAGGTAAGGTCTTAAGTGGGACACGCCCATTAGAATGTTGCCAGGAAAGCGTGAGCCCATGAGCTGCCATTTATCAAACATAAAAAAAAAAAAAGTGGTCTGCCAACTCTAACATACGTGGATAATAGAGTGAGCCAAACCAGGCACATACCCTTTGATTTCTATCTCCTCTTTCAAGGAAAATCATCCTCAGGCCCTAACAAGAAGAGCGATATGGTAATGTGGGGTGTGAGGAACAAGACAGGTGAGGAGATGGCCCAAGCAGCGGGGCTCTCACACCCAGTCCACATCTGTACCACCGCAGCATTAGACGGCTGGTCAGCGGTCCTTGGGGTACATCAGTGGACAGGAGGTTCCAGTAACTGGACAATAAGGAAAAAAAAACCCTTATTTTCTAAAAGGACCATAGGAAAATTACCTGTGGCCTGGAAGTGACTTCCACTAGAATTTGGAAGCCTGTTGGGAGTCAGGAGGCTTGGGAGCACTGAGAAAAGGCAAGGTGATCACAGCGCCCAGCACGGCTTACTAAGAGCATGCCAAATGAGCTTAGGGTCTAAACTTTTTCTTTTCTTTTCTAAGATTGATTTATTTATTTGAGAGCGAGCAGGGGGAGGGGGGCGGAGAATCCTGGAGCAGACTCTGTGCTGAGTGTGGAGCCCGACATGGGGCTCAATCCCAGGACCCCGAGGATCATGACCTGAGCTGAAACCAAGAGTTGGGCACTTAACTGACTGAGTCAAACAGGTGCCCCCGAACTTTTTATTATAAAAGTAACACTTGCCAACATACAGAAATGAGATACTGCAAAGAAGGAAAAAAGAAGAAAAGAGCAGGAAAGGCTGGTAAAAACCACTATAAACACCTTGGTGGGTACCTTTCCAGACCTTTGGATTTTTTTTTTGTGGTGGGCGGGGGAGAAAGAGAGAGAGAGAGAGCATGTGTGCAAGCAGGGGGAAGAGCAGAGGGAGAGGGAGAATCTTAAGCAGACTCCACACTGAGCACAGAGCGTGACGCAGGGCTTGATCCCACAACCGTCAGATCACGACCTAAGTGGAAATCAAGAGTCGGACGCTTAACCGACTGAGCCGCCCAGGTATTCCTGGATATTTTTTGAAATGCGACCACATTGCACATTCTGGTTGTCACTTAACAACATTCACCCACACCTTTTTATCCAAATCATTATTTTTTTATGCCTAAAGAGTTAAGGCATCGAATGTAAGAATGTTTCATAATTTAACCCTTTGCTTTTGTTTTGGGCATTTAGGAGACCCACCCCCATACCCCTTTCCTGAGTATTATTTTTAAGCAGCAGCAGTGCTCATCCCTGAGGGTAAATCCTTCTGTACACCTGTAAGTATTTTTCAGAAGAAATTCTTACTGGCGGACGCATGAGGATCAAAGGTGGGCTTTATGGCAGTGTGATAAGGGTACAAAGTGGCACAGCAAGGGACATGAGCTTCTCAGGATTTCAGCACTGAGTTAGCAGAAGCCCCTCACCCCACTTCTGTGAGCAAGAGAGAACTGGTGGCTGAACAGTTGGCACATTTTGGCCGATGGAACGCATCTGTACCCCAAATGGCTGGATGGGTATGAACGTGAGCTCAGTTGGACAAGGGAGGACCTCGCAGAGATGGAAGGGCTGGTCAGAGGTGGTGGTCCCAGACACCGGAGGTACTGGAGCAGCACCTCAGGATGATCACCTGCCCCAGAGGTCATAGAGGGTATTCCTGGGCAGGGCAGACACTGGGCTAAAGGCTCTCCTTCCTTCTTCCCATAAACAGCTCACGAGCACCTCTGCGTCTCCTCCCCTTACTTCAGCAACTCTGAGCACTGTCTCTCCCTCTGGAGGCCTCCGTGAGAGGGATAGGAGAGGGGCTAGACTAACGGGTATGCCTTTGAGAAAACATCAAAAAGTAAATATCACTTTAATAACCATACATACAAGTTAAACGTGGGCTGCTCGCTTTTCAAATTGCATAAGTTTGGAAATCTACTTCTCTTCGGAAGGGCCTGCCCGTGAAGGGAGCCGTCATTAAATGTTTCCAGGAACGAACCAGAGCATAGCAGAAGTCTGCACCAAAGGCTCAGCCGCGAAGCCTGCAGCGGAGGGCGCCAGAGCCAGTTCGCAACAGTCTGAAACTTTGTTCCATCAGCAGCAGAGCTCCAGCTACCGTGCATCAGGCACTGGGCAAGGGCGAGGGCCTGGGGCACACTTCTGCCTTGACTGTTTTTGGAAAAAACCACTGGAACCTTAACTCTGCAATCCCAAATTGAGACGTGCCACTCCATGCCAAACGCTGTTCATGGGGGGCGGGGGGGAAAGAGGTGGTCTCTGTTCCCTTCTACCAGAACGGCTCGCAGGCAGGCAGCCGGTGGGGGGGTGGGGTGGGCAGGCTTCCCAGCTGCACCATGGTTGCCCAGTGCTGAGCTTGCAGGCCTTATGGAGCCAGCAGGCCCTGCGGGCTCTTTCTGGCAGGGTTCCCACAAAGCAGTCTTGGACCCTGGTGGAGCAATTTGGTGCCTGCAGCCGCTGAGGAGCTGGAGGCTGCCTGCTGCCGGGGGGCAGCCTCCACTACCTCTGTTTGGAAGATAAAATCCGACCGACTGCCACTTACATAAATGTAACAGGAAGTTTCTGAATGGCTTCCCCTGTGTCTTGAGGCTGTTACCTTGGTGTTGCTAAACTCACAGCTGAAATGAACCCAGACAACACCTCATCAAAGCCGCGGGGCGAGGAAGCAGTGGTCCACAGGCAGACAGGAACATTCCTGCCAAACCAGAGGAGATTTCGCTCTGTGGGCCTTTTTCTGCAGAAATGTCAACAGCTGGGAAAGGCATCAGAGAATCCAGGTAAGGCGGGGGGAGCTGAACACCATGGCCGGAAAAAGGTTTGCAAGCTGGAGGGAAAAAGGCATCTGCTTTGATTGAGCTTTCCTCCTGCGAATTCGGAACGGGGCCGCCCTGCTGGGTTTTGCAGACCTGTTTTGCGCCACTATGCCACGCAGCATCTGGGGAAATAGTCAGCTTTTGTACAAAATAGGTCATCTTTCCACACTTGTTATGCTCCTTGTCTACTTTGCTGAAATAGCCACAGCACAAAAGAAATTCTCCCTGGAGGTGCTTTTCTGAGACAACGCGCTCCCTCTGCCCTTTCGGGAGCCGGGCTCCTGGAGGCGGGCCAGGGGCCAGGGTTTTAAGACGTCCCGGGTCTTCCCTTTCCCCCACCCAGAAATGGAAAAATTGGCTTTTGCTTACACTTCCAAACCTATTAGGGAGTGATCATAACAAGAGAAACTGATACTGACATGAATTATACCATTGTTCTATTTCATCTATTTAGTAACCCCAAGTTGCAATTTTTAGAAAAAAGATTACCTTTTAAATAACGGATTCATTATGGTACATGAATGAGTGCCATGTTCCCGTGTTCAAAACGTCACTCACCATTAAGGGCGTGCGCTGGTAAGTGGCACTGATTTGCCACTTCCCCCTTAGCTACAAACGCCCCTGAGTGGAGGCTGAGGATAATCGGAGGTGAGCCTGTGGGTTTCCCTGGCTCTTAGAGGGTCACCTGCGCTGCCAGGCACCTAATGAATCTCCACTCTGCAATCAGGCCTGTAAGCGTTCCCCTCCCTGGGTGAAGGTGGAAAGGCAAACTCGCACTGCTGAGGTCCCTGCCAAGGTACCACCATCCATTTCAAGGCCGAGTTCAGAAATCACAGACCCTTATGATGGGGGCGGGAGGGGAGACTGCCCGTGTCCCTTCTGGCCACAAACCTGGCTTTGGGAAATGAGAGGTGAGGACAGACCTGGACACAGGCTGGTGAGCGGGCTGGGCCTCAGCTCTGTGCTGCTCCCGAGACCCCATGGGAAACCCGCCCTGGCTCTGGCAGGTGAACAATGCAGTGACTATTCTCTGGAAACCACCCTTCAAGTTCGTGAAATCCACACATTGTTTTTCATCATTAGTTTCAAATGCGCTGAGTATCTTGCCCTTCTTTAAGTGCTGAGGTGACACAAAGGAAGGAAAGGGCTGATCTCTGCAGGGGACAGGCCCCTTGCAGGGTGAAAAAGAGACCTAAGACAGATGCCATTCGAAGCCAGGAGACACGCAGAGGGAGATGGTGCCCGGGACACAGATGCGGTAGCTGGCCATGAGCAGAGGCCCCACGTACCTGATATGGCATACAGATTGGAGTGCTGGTACTCATAGTCAGCCCGAGTGCTGTTCCTGCCTCGGAAGGTAGCAGGGAGCGTTAGTGAGATGTGCCTAAGAGAGAGAGGAAAAAGGAGGTTACAGGGCACACAGAGCACTCCCCAAGGCTCCAAAAGCACCCGCACCACCAACAGCTGCCGCAGCACAGAGCAGGAGGAGGGGGCGCCCTGGTGAGCAGGGGGCCCCCAACAGCTCGAATCCCCCCGAGGAATTCAGAAGTTTCCAGACATCAGCAACCACCTTTTTCAATTCCAAGAGGAACATTCAAGTGGAGGAAAGGGTTTCCCAAGCCTTATGGCATGTGCGAGGTACTTCAAGGAGGTCGGCAACTTAGTCTAGATCTCTGCCCACTGGGCAAAATACACCAATAGGAGCAGAACATGTGGGCCCTAAACAGGAGCCCTGGTGTGTTCTGCCGTCTTCCTTCCATTATCCATCAGATGGCTTTCATTCCTGTCTCGCAGGGCCGCTGAGAACAGCGCAAGAAGCACTTTGTGAATGAAGGTGTTGAGTATCATTACTACCACGTGAGTCCAGGAAAACGAACAAGCACTGAGAATCAGAATGGCATGCTCTTCTGAATTGCTATGTCTGCATGTTCGCCCTCTGGCAGGAGCACACAGTAGGTACTCAGGAAATCACCTTCAATCAGTCCAGCACGGTCTTTTTATGGCACAGGTGCTGGCCATTAAAGCTCACAGTGCCCACAGAGCCTAAATGAGTATTTGATCAAAGTAAAAAAGCCATTTGGTGTGGTCATCAGCTGCCTTTAGCAAATGCAAAAAAGATTAAAAGGGTAGGAAATATATTTCAAACCCAACAGGTCTGGGGGATAAAACAACAATAAAGCCTCTTACTGGTAGGACTGGGGATTGGCTTGAACTAGCTCAGTAGCCTGAGTTTTGGCAGCACTCAGTCATCTCCAAAAGGGAAAAGACCGAGGAAGGGAGCATTTGTTACAAGTTTTATGTTGTACATGCTGCCTTTTTTACACAATAGGTGCATGACCTCTAGGAATGACTCCTGTACATACAAGGCTCCTGGGAGGGAACGTTCTCTAAGCAAGACCTATTCCCACAGAGTCTCTCGGCGACAAGATGAACACCAAAGGCTGTAAAGGCATTTGGTTTGCTGGGCTGCAGTGTGAGCACTGAGGCAAACACCTGTGCGACGGAACAGCCTGGCTCAACCGGGTGGCCAGTGGGGGGGGGTGTGTGGCTTGCCAAGCACTGGCTGGACTCAGGGCTGGGGGGAGGGGGCACCAGCAGACCCAAGCACAGGGAGACTCCAACATGTGTGGAGTGAATCTGAGTGTCTGCTCATTACTGATGCTAACGAAGGATTGCAGAGATGAGCTCCCTGAAGGAGCTCCCAGGCTACAGGGGGTCGAGGTCCAGAAATAAACCACCAGATGCAACAGGACATGCACCTGGGTGCTGAGTGAGCACAAGAGTTTTGATAAAGGGGCCAGGGTTCTAGGGACACCTTCTCAGAGGGGGACACAGGTACTGATGGAGTAAAAGGGACTCGCTGGGTGGTCAGGGAAAGCCAACACTCTGGCGTAGGGTCAGGGTATGCGTGGCAGCAAGGCAAGGCCGGAAAGGCAGGCTGGGGCCAGGTTGGAACGGACACCCACCACTGCCAAGCTGCAAGACTTGATCCCCTAGGACGAGGGTTGCTAACTCTGTCCCGCCCACATCACAGCACAAACGAGGGCACAGCGCAACACGGAGTCAGAGCCACGACCCTGGGGAGTCCAGGTCGGTGGGCCTGGGGTGCGGCCAGAAATCTGTCTTTAACAAGTTCCAGCAGTGACTCTGAAGGCTGGCCAGGTTTGGGACCCTGAGAGGATAAGGAGCAGCTGCAGAAGGGTTTTACACAGTTGATCAACGCCTCTGACCACGGCACTTAGTCAATGAAGCTGAGCAAACAGAAGAATGAATTATTGACTGTGGCTGTGGTTGAGCAGAGCTAAAATGATGATAGGTGACCCCACAGAGGGTGCCCGCCGTGTGCCAGGCCTCGGGGGAGGCAGAGCTCACACAGTCTCTTCTGGCTCCTCGCGCTGCCCCTACAAGGCAAGTGTAGGGCCCGGTGCAAACTGAGAATGTGAGGCCCTGGTTCAAACAGTCAAAATTTCGAGATGCTGACACAGGGCAGTATGCCGAACGTGGGGCCTTCAGAGCCTGGGGCCTTGGGAGCCTGGGGCCTGGAGGGCCAGTGCTGGCTGCACATCCATGAAGCTGGCTGAGGGGGACGCTGTTATTGCACCCACCATTCCACAGTGAGGGAACTTCCAAAAGCCAGGGAAGAACTACGCTGCAGGGCTGCCATACCTTGAGATTTCTAAGTCTTGAAGGCACTTTCAAAAGGTGCATCCAACTAAACTAAGGGCATCACACATCTGTGCAGTGCGGTGGCCCCTCCAGAGGCTGGAGGCATTCAGGAAGGCTCGTGGACAAGGTGGGTGTTAGCGGAACTTTGGAAGACAGGCAGACCTGGGTGGCAGCAAAGACGCCAAGCAGAAGCCAGAAGAGAAAAGAGGGTCGGCCCAGCCGTTCAGTGGTTAAAGAGGAGCTGAGAGTCTGGCAGGAGAAAATGCAGATGGGGCCTCAGGGTGGCAGGACAGCAGGGCCCCTTTGTGCACCGAGCTCACCCTGCAGTGGGGCGGGGGGAGGGGGCATGAAAATACCCACAAAGTTACAGGAACACTTGCTTACAAATGGGAAAGCAGGAAGTGCTGTGTGTGGGGAGAAGTGAGGACCGCCGGGCAGGGAGGACGGGGAGCAGGGCTCCAGACTCTGTAGTGAGCCTCCTACATGGCAGGAAGTGTGGTGGAGGGAGGACCTGGAAGGAGGCTGGAGTGGCCAGAGCCTGAAGGCCAGGAGAGGGTGTGGGACCAGGCAGAAGAGGGCTGCAAGGCCACAGCACAGCGGGGCCCTGCATGAGCTCAGACTTGATCCGGAAGGATTTCTAAGCAGAGATGTGAAAAGATCCAGTTTGCAATTTTATTTATTTATTTATTTATTTATTTATTTATTTATTTATTTATTTTTTATTTATTTGAGAGAGTGAGAGAGAGAGAGCATGAGAGGAGAGAGGGTCAGAGGGAGAAGCAGACTCCCCGCTGAGCAGGGAGCCTGATGTGGGACTCGATCCTGGGACTCCAGGATCATGACCTGAGCTGAAGGCAGTCACTTAACCAACTGAGCCACCCAGGCGCTCCCTAGTTTGCAATTTTAAAAGATTGCCTGCGTGTGGGAAAGCGAGGAACTAAAACGGCAATGCCATGGTAGACTGAAATGGAGCAGCAAATTACAGTGGGGATTCTCGTGAAACTGCAATTATTGAGCACTTACTGTGTGTAGACCCTTCACAGTTCCTGCCAAAGTGTCCTGCTGCAACCCTCTGAACAGTTTGGGGGAAATTCTATGGTACACAAGACTTAAAAACGAAGGATATACCAGAGAAACCAAGGTGCCTGGCTCCTTAGCTGCCCTGCCCAACGTGGACTCCCTGGTCTCAACTTTTCCTGCTTCTCTGGGACATCCGATTGTGCCTGGCAGATGCGATCTGCAACCCTCCCTCCCTTGGCCAGCCTTTCTTCCTTGCAGATGGTCCTTTCTGGCCCCTCCTCCAACGTTTTAAAAGTTGCTGTTTGTACGGGTTCTGCTTGAGCTCTCTCCTCATTCCACATGCCTTCCCGAGGCAACCTCATCCCCAGCCATTCCCTGACTTTAGCTGTCCTCACACACCAGCCCACCTTTCGTGTCTCTTGCACTGCTTACTTCTCCCTCTACCCGGAAGAGGGAAAATCCTGTAAATCTATGAATATGCCGTGCATTGTTCATACCTTAGCCTGACTCTTTATCCAGGCTGCTCCCCTTCCTAGAATCTCCATTTATTCCTTACCTACACCCCAAACTCCTATTCATCCCTCAAGACCCCACCTAAGCATACCTTCTTTGGTGGAAACTTCCCTGGGCTTGTTCCAGGCTCACTGGATGCCTGCATGTCCCCTCTCTCTCTGGTTTGCACAAAATACTTGAAGCATTTGATACAAGCCTGTCTTCCTAACATGATTGTGACCTCCTCAAGAACAGGGTCAAAGCTCATCAATTTTGGACCCCATTTTCTAGGACAATTTTTGACCTGGAGTAGACGACAGTTGAACACGTGTTGACCAAATCAGGTGTTGTACCTACTCCATCAAGACCTCTGGATCTTTTTGATATAAACTGCCAGAGCGTCTATGACTCCATTTCTGCCCATGTGTGTTTTTGCCTATCAGACTCAAGTGGTCTCTGTATTATACCAGGCATCCCACTCCTCTCTGCTCTGGAAAACAGGTATGATGTACGAAGGAATCAGTGGTGGTGACTGGGAATTTATGGGAGGTGGTGGGGGTGGGTGGGAGAGAGAAAAAAAGTTTCTGATCTCCTACAGACAATGTGTGGTTGATAGAGTACATGTGAAATTAACAGCATTCGAGTCGCAGACCCGACTGTATCTTAGACAGAGTCATTGCTCAGCAGGAATGGGGTGAGCTGAAATGAAGTCACCCTGAACTCCAGCTCTAGCCACTGCTGTAGGAGGGTATGGGGCAGCACCCAGCGAGAAGAGAGGCCCCCGAACAGGGACAGCTTTAGGGAGAAAAGTTCGCTACGCTGCAGAGAGCTGCTTTTCACTTCATTGTTCGGACACAGGAAGGAGGGATGTGGGGGTGGGGGGACGAAAAGGCACAGCAAGGCCTCCCGTAATGAGGATGGCCAGTTGGGGCCGAGGGGCCAGATAACCTGTGGTTAAAGAGGAAGAACAAGTCACCTGCTGAAGGAGAAGCGGCCCAGGGGCACTGCAGCGTCAGATTAGCCTGAAAATGACAGACGACAGGAACCAGGGAGGCTCTGCAGTGAGCAGAGCCTCAGAGTGAAAGGCGATTCTAGTTCCCCGGGAGGGGGGCGGGGGGGACCCCGTGCCAGGCACTGGTCTGGGTTCCTTCATGGACACCCCTCACCTCACCCTCTCGGCAACCTTTTCCGATAGGAATAGTTAAC